TTGATTCAGATGCCGCTCCTGCGCCAGCATGACGAAGATTCAAAACAATGAGAGATGTGGCCTTCCTGTCTATAAAATGGGAGCGTAACACTTGCCTAGGTTTAAATGAGATTACGTTTTTTAAAATGCTTACTTATTTTTGAGACAGACAGAGTGTGAGCGGGGGAGGGGCAGAGAGAGAGATGCACACAGAATCCGAAGCAGGCTCCAGGCTTTGAGCTGTCAGCACAGAACTTGACACGGGGCTTCATGAGCTGTGAGGTCAAGACCTGAGCTGAAATTGGCTTAACCTACTGAGCCACCCAGGTGCCCCTATATGAGATTATAAACAGGACACAGTAGGGACAAATCTTATCTACATCCTCTCTGTCCTTAATGTCCTTCCCTTCTATTGTTTTGGCTTAGTGAAGTCCCTTCCAGGTCGCGCTTAAATGTCACATGCTGCATAAAGCACTCCCTGATCAACTTAACCAGGAGTCCCCCCGCCCCCCTTATTTGTACTAATGCTCTCAGTCGTACATATCCACATGTTCCAAGACCTCCTTAGTGGATGCCTTAAACCACAGATAGTACTGAACTCTATTTACTATGTTTTTTTCCAATACATTCACGCCTATGATAAAGTTTAATTTATCAACGAGACAATAAAAGATCAACAATAATAAAATAAAATAAAATAAATAATATGCCATAATGGAAATTATGTGTGTGGTCGCTCTCTTAAAATATCTTCCTGTACCATACTCGCCCCCTTGTGATGATGTGATAGGGGATGGAGGGAAGTGAAGGACACAGGCACTGGAATGCAGGTAAGGCTACTGACCTGCTGAAGTGGCACCAGAGGGAGATCACCTGCTTCCAGGCCGGAATTGGCTGCTTCTGGCCAGGATTGGCTGTGGGTAACTGAGCCCTCGGAAAGTGAAGCCATGAATAAAGGGGAACTGCTGCACCCCTCCTTCGCCTCTTGAGATCCTTTGTGTCTGGTGCTCACTCTTCTCTAGAACAAAAGCTCTTAGAGGACAGAAGCTATTAGTTTGCCAGTTCAATTCCTATCTCCAAACAGCTCTCTACATTGCTGGTGCTAATATTTGTTGAAAGCCCGAGTGAGTCCTCATTTCCACTTAGGTTGGCTCCCAGACATAATTCTATTTAGCTTATTTCAAAGTTTATTTATTTTGAGAGAGAGAGAGAGAGCGATAGCGTGAGCAGGCAGTGGGAGAGAGAGAGAGGGAGAGGGAGAATCCCAAGCAGGCTCCGAACTGTCAGCACAGACAAAGCACGAATTTAAGTCACATAGTCAGTCATCTCAGCTAGTTTTGTTGTACTGCTTAGCATTCTGTCTAAAGTCCCAAATCCCAACCCTTCTTCAAAATACAGCAATAATCATTCTTTAATTACTTCAGATGATAATTTTCTTAACTCTCAAAATGTTTACAGTCTGTTGTTTCTAAGACATATGTGGTCTGGTATTATTCTCTACTTTATATGGCCTAAGTCTTAAGCAAGTATGCTCCTTTGAGGTAGAAAGCTGCTTTCTAATTTCTTTTATATCTTGCAGAGTATTGGAGAGTATTGGCTCTTACAACAAATACTGGGTTTTTGGATGGCAAAGTCTTCTTTGGACCCGAACCTGATTCAGAGGACAGAGAACACCAAGGAATGGATTATATCTCTGCTTTTAACTCTTATGTCTACAGTGCCTTGTACAGAACCTTGTATATATTCAAGGTTCTAGATGAACCCAATATACATAACAGCCTTATTTTAGGGGCACCTGGGTGGCTCAGTCGGTTAAGCAGCCAACTTCGGCTCAGGTCATGATCTCATGACCTGGGGTTTGTGCCCCATATCGGGCTCTGTGCTGACAGCTAGCTCAGAGCCTGGAGCCTGCTTCAGATTCTGTATCTCTCTCTCTCTCTGACCCTGCACTGTTCACACTGTCTCTATCTTTCAAAAATAAATTTTAAAAAACATTAAAAAAAGAAAAAAACACTTTATCAGTTTTGCCTTAATTTCTTTTGTAATGGTGGCAAAGCATCAGAGTCATTAAAAGATAAATAAATATATATATAAAAAATCTTCATTAAATATTAAATAGATAACTCATAGGGGTGGGGAGAGGGGACGGGGGTGATGGGCATGGAGGAGGGCACTGTTGGGATGAGCACTGGGTGTTATATGGAAACCAACTTGACAATAAACTATTTAAGAAAAAAAATAGGTAACTCAAAGTCATGGGCAATCAGTTTGGCAGAAGATTCTTGTCTTAAAATCCCATGTTTAGAATGGATAGGTAGTTTTGAGACAAAATTGCTTTAATAAAAGTCACCTTTTGGTGTTGCATAAACTTGATCTCAGAGTGTAAGCTTATAAACAGAAAAGTAAAGAAGCTCACTGATGTTATATTTGGACCTGAGCATGCATCAAGAAATATCTTGAGAGTCTTCCAACAAAAATAATAATGAACATCTCCATAATCCTTGTTAAGCCCTATCATTTAAAATTCAGATCAGAGATTTATAATATTTATACTGTTTCAGTAAAGTGAAATGAAAGTCAGAAGTGTATTATTAAAAACATGAGAAACAAAATCTCTATATGAAATATTATCAGTTAATTATCATTCTGAAAAAAACTAAGTATAATTATAGCCTAAAGTTTAGGGAATGAAAACAAGTTACTTGAATGCCACTGACTTACATTAACTCAATATTTTCATAAAATGGATATACCACTTTTGGAAACTAGAAAGATGAGTCTTTTTGGTAACAAATTTTATTAGGTGAGCTTTATTTTCTTTAAGTAATCTCTGCACCCCACATCGGGCTCAAACTCATGACCCTGAGATCAGGAGTCACCCAGTCTACCAACTGAGCCAGCCAGGCACCCCAGACCTTTGGCTCTCTAGCTGTTTCCAACACTTGCGAGAGTGACATTGCGGTGGGTTCATAAAAGAAGATACTGAAATTGGCTCACATGCTTTTTTCACTCTTTTGCTAATAACTTACCATAAAGGGGCACCTGGGAGGCTCAGTTGGTTAAGTGGCCAACTTCAGCTCAGGTCATGATCTCGTGGTTCATGAGTTTGAGCCCCGCATCGGGCTCTGTGCTGATGGCTAGCTCGGAGCCTGGAGCTTGTTTCGGATTCTTTGTCTCCCTCTCTCTCTGACCCTCCCCTGCTCACGCTGCCTCTCTCTCTCAGAAATAAATAAAACATTAAAAAAAAACACTTTTCCCATAGAGATTTGCTATGGTCATCATGCTCTCAGTCTCTAGGGATCTGGCTGTCTCATGACAGTACAAGAGAATAAAAGTCATATGTAGTCTCACTGCCTCTCTGGATTGCATCATTTGCAAGTCACACGTGTTTCAGAGTAAGGGTGCTCCTTAGGAAAAGAGGACTTTGCAGAAAGTGCTCAAAATTATTTCCTTACACTCTGTTTATGTGACTATTTGAAAATATAATGGCTCAGACTTAGGTCATGTTTCTTACTTAGCTGCCTATTTCAAATGCCAGCAAATATCCACAACCCACGTTAAAGTATGAAAATCACTAATATTAAAGGTATGTGTATAATGTAATGAATTTTGAAAAGTCAAGACTGCAAAAGGAGCTTAAGATATATTGCAGCATTAGATGAAATTCTCAAGGGAGCAGCCAAGTAGATCACAACATTTGGTATTTGGTTAAAGGTAGGAAATTTTTCAAATTAAGAAAATTCTATCTCTATAAACTAAACAACAACAACAAACCCAATCGTGAAATTCTGAGCGTTACTTTTGAATACAGAAGTTATACATACCTAAAATATGATTATAGAATAAAAATGTTATACCTCTTTAAAATGTTTGGCAAAGTACAATTAAAAGTATAATAGAAAGCATGACATGAAGGTAAAACATTAATTTTGAGGTATTTGATGGATATTGGACCTCATTTGCAACAGCTACGTTGATTGATAGAAGTTTCGAGAATTCTTTTCAAATCTCTATTGGAATATAAAATAAAGTTTTTTTTTTAATCTTAGAGAATATTGTTACTTAATCTGTCGGTAAGCATAAAGAAAGATTTAAGCATGCGTCAAAAGCATCACAGATCCACAGAGCCTGCTGCTGCAGCCAGACCGCATTCTCGAGAGAATTTAGGTTTAGGGCATGTAGACCAAGATGGCAGGTGCCTTTCCCAAAGTCACAGGAAGCAGGCGGGTCCCCAAACTCCTTAGACTAGAGTCCCCCCCTCCCCCGCAACAGTTTGTTGTCTTAACGGCTTCATAGCCCTGGTATCCGCACAAAGGAGACCTTTAAGAAATGTGAATACACGGCCTTCATGATATGCGACATATTCAATTCCAACATTAAAACATTTTCTCACAAATCTAGCATCTGTAACGCTTCGGTCATAGTATCAATCACTGCAAAGGTAACTGAATTTTTTCTGAATGAGGAAGGACAGTTAAGACTTCCAGGGCAGGAAAGCATCATGCTTTTTTGAAGAGAATCACAGAAGTAATTTAGAAGCCTGAATTTTGTTCTTCTGTAAATCCTGGGCCCTCTGTGTTTCGGTACTGGTCAGAGAGCTCTCTGAGCGTGACAGAGCGGGACTTATTAGGAGTAAAAGAAGAGTCCGTGGCTACTGGACAGAGCTGGGGGTGGAGAGTGCAAGTTCTCAGGACAATTGATTTGTAACCTATTTTATGTTAACCAGAAAGTGTCCCACCTGCATTGAGGACCTTTGCCCATTCCAGGCTGTATGCTATATGCTGTATGTATTTACAAAAAGGATTCTTAGTACCGAACCTTCTAGAGGCCAATTGCTGTGAAATTAACTCCTCACGGTTGTGTGGGTTTCACAGAGTTTCACAGGTAGCAATGCCAGGAAAGCCCCCGTTTCTCAAAACAAAGAGTGAGGGTGAGCGTGGACAGAGTGTGGCCTAGGGCTGTTTTCTGAATACAGGTTGCTGATCACCAGATATATAAAGAAGACACGACTAAAGCAAAGGTAAAGTCAGTAAACAATATTTTACTGAAACATTTCATGACACAAAATCTGTCTGAAGTGTAAAGTTACTGTCTTACACAGGAAGGACAGACCCATTTTCAAAGACTAATATGAATACAATAAATATGGGGTTTACATACTAATTTATACACAGAAACTCTGCCCCACAGCCATAAAAATTTATATTTAACAGTGCAACATATAATTTAATCATTTGATTTATTTGACAGTTTTTTTTTCCTAAACACAAATAACTACCTGGTTTTCATATACATATATAATATATATTTTATGTATATAGATATTCAACAATCTGTACAGATTCTAAACATAAACTCCTAAAAGGCACAAGTGTCTATACAACATGTACAAAAATGGCTGGAGCGGACACAAAAACAACAATTATTGGTCAAAAGTTCATGATTGCACAAAGATTAGTCATGAGTTTATGTCAGAAAAATGTGCTTTAAGGAAAAGGAGGCTTTTCAAAGAAACCTTTAAGTGTTATATAAAAAAAAAACCCCAAAACAGAACAGAACAACAAAGAACAGAAACCAAAAAACCGCACCGAAACCCAAACCTGACCAACCCCCCAGGCCCAGGCCCCCTAGGTGGCTATCACGAGCCTGTCCTCGTCGTCGTCGCTGCTGACGTCACTGAACTGCGCCGCGGCCTGCCGTCGGGGCGGCGCCGCGGGCCTGGGCGCCTGCGGGTCGGGAGAGCGAGTCCGCGGGCCGCGCGGCTCCCGGGCCGCTTCGGGCCGCACCTTCGGCAGAGGCTCGGCCGGGGCGGCAGGGCTGCCCTGCAGGGGTGCGGGCTCCTGCCTGGGCTTCGCGTGATTCACGCGGCCGCCCTTGCCCGCGTCCGCTTTCCTAGGGCCGTCGGGCCGGCCGTGGTCCCTCGCGGGGGCAGGCGGCTCGGGGCCGTGGTTTGCGTCTTCCCGCCGGCCCGGCGGGGACCCCTGAGGAGACGCGGACCCGCCGCCCGGATCCGCGCTGGCCCCCGAGGTCGGCCTGGGGGCCGCGTCCCGCGCCCTGTGCTGGGCAGGCGGCCTCTCGGGGGCCCCCGGGGCCGCGTCGGCGGGCACCTGGCCGACGGGGGGGATTAAAGTAGGCAAGGCGATGTTCAGGATCTGGAGGCCTGGGACGTGCGCCTGCGGGGCGGGGCTGCTCTGCGGGGAGGGGCCGGCCGCGAGCACCTGCAGGCCCACGGCGCCCAGCGCCAGCCCCGGCGGGCGCACCTGCGGGGCCACGTGGGTGTTGGCGAGGCCCAGGATGTTGACGGTCTCCACGCCCAGCGACGGCAGCGGCCGCAAGCCCGGGGTGCCGAGGCTCTGCAGGCCGGGCACGCGGATCTGGCCGATGGGAATACAGGGCACCACGCTGCTCAACTCGGCCACTCCCGCGGGGCTGGGGGTGCCGGACACCTCTGCGACGGGGTCCCCGGCGAGGCCCACGGTTCTGTGAATCACATTGACCGCAGGGATCGTGAGCTGCATGGGCCCCGCCTGGAGGGGCACAAACGTGGAGTAGGTGAGGCCGGCGGGGACCACGTGGATCCCCCCGACCGGAACCATGTTGTACGGTGTCCTGGACTGCTGCTGGGAATGCAGAGGGAGGTGGCTGAACAGGTGAGTCTGGGGGGAGGGCAGGCCCGGAGGCGGCTGTAGGGTCGTGGGCTGCTTCTGCTCCTGGGCGTCGCGCTGAGGCGAGGCCCCCGACGGCGCCTCCGCTGCCGGGTGACGGCCGCGCTCGGCTGTAGGAGGGGGCGCTCTCGCAGATGCCGCGCTCTGAAAGACAGCAGACAAACCCCCTTTCCAGCACGGATGTCTCGGTCGCTGAGCCAAACTGCTAGCATAAAATCTATTCTTCCTCATGAGGTGAAAGCATGTATGTGTGCATAAAAATTACAGGCTTGCTAAAAAATGAGGTCTTCAATGTAAAAAATAAATTCCCAAGTAAAAATCTATTATGCCTGTAATGTCCAGTGCAAGTAACAGCAATGCGGTGCATAGGATACTTTGCATTTTTGCAAATTTCCTCCCTCCTTTCCTCCCTCCCTTCCCCTTCCTTCCCTCCTCCCTCCCCTTCCCAAGTTTAGGAAATGTCTACTGAAAACCAGATTTCCAGACACGGGCAGGTATGTAAGTCATTTTGGGACAGAAAAGCGGAGAGCACAGTGACCAATTCCTTCCTTCCTCCCTCCCCTTCCCCTGCCCTCCCCTCTCTCCCTTCCCCGCCTCCGTTCCTTCCCAAGTTTGTGAAAGGTCTACTGAAAACCAGATTTCCAGCACTGGAAGGTATGTAAGTGATCTGGGGATAGAGAAGCTTAGAGCACAGGAGATAAGTCTGGAAGTAATGAGAAGGGTAAGTCTTGCCAATCTCCCTCTCCCCAAGATTATCATCTAAATGTTCGATTTCTTCTTGGTGACAGCTACATTACAGAGCTACATTAATTTATAGACTAATTTAACTTAAACATCAAATCTAATTTAAATGTCAATGCAATTATGTTAAACTATATTAATTTAGACTAGTCTATAGAAACCTGAGCTTTCACAGACTTTATTTTTCTCCAGTGTTATCTAGCAAACCAAGAGCTGCCACATTGGGAAGTAAACCCTATGGCCATTGTCAATGCGTACTAGACGTAAGAGAAGGTAAGAGACGCAAGAGGTCAGTGGCATGAATATGTCCGTCACAGAACTGAACCTTCCTCATGAGCCACCAGGGGTGAAAGCACATGAAGGGTGGCTTTCTACAGGCCCGGGTCTGGCCCGGAGCTGGTTCTCTGGCAGGAAGCTTTCCTAAGCCGTCACAGCAATTTCTTCAAGCAAAGTGAACTTCTTGATACATATTTTTGGGTCACATTGACTTTGCCACAGAAACTGGTGGCTGTCGGGTCGACAGGGGCAAAGTGCAACGTGTCTGGATAATTTCGTGCAAATCTATCATCTCAGTGCCAGTGGAAAAACAGCTCAGGGCAAGCAAGGGGGTAAATAGGTCCCAAGATTCAAGTTCCCAATAGGAACATACATATGTCTACAAAGTGAGTGTATTTCTAAAGAACCATTTGGTTCTTTCACGGATTTAGGATACAGTATGTGTCCTCTGATTAAAATACCTAGCAAGAATCCGATGAGCATAAATGTCATTTGCCTTTAAATAGAACCAAAAATTATGTTTAAACCAACTGAGCCATAAATAAAAAATTTTCAGTACATTGTTTTCTTATGCCATTAGGATCCCCCTGTGGGGAAACCATACAACAAAACATTTACCTGGGTTAAAGTAGTGTTCTTTCCTGCCACAGAACTTCCCAGAGTCTCTTCCGCTTCAGGGTAGTCTACAGACATCTGGTGACACGGGGACCTGGGCACAGCTTCAGGTGACCTGGAAGAGTCTGTGGGAGGAGCCATGTCTTCTCCGTCTTTGGCAGCGTGCTGCCTGGTCTTCACCGGAGACTCTGTTTGCCTGCTGTGGTCTGACTGCACCGCGCTAAGTACGGTCATCTTGGTGGGCAAGGCTCTGGGCAGAACGTCCATCGGGTCCGCGTGCACCCCAGAAAAGCAGTCGGTGATCCGGATGTCCTCCTCCGCACCCCCAGGGTCCTGGAGGCCGCCTCTGGATGGAAGATGCTGTGGGCTGGCCGTAACGGACGGAGCTGCTGACAAGACAGATTCAGCCTGACTATCTTCATCATCATCTTCGTTGTCGTTGTCGTCCTCATCCGGGCCATCCGATTCTTCAAGGTCATAGCCAGACCGCTCGAAACCGAATCTTTGCTTTTCATCTAACAAAAACAACCAAGAGGCTATGTTATAGCTATATTGCGCATGTGGACACATGCATCCTTTTATTTATTTTTTTATAAGCTTAGCAATGCTGTGAGGACTATAACAGACAAGGGCTCTACCCCCAGAAAGCCTACAGTTTAGCCGAGGAGGGTGGTTCGGGGAAGATTAAGTCGGTCAGGCCAGGAATCAGAGAAGCGAGGCGCTGACAGAGAGTGGCATGGCCAGGACACTTGTTAGGGATGCAGAATGTGAAATGGGCCTCGGAAGGTTAGACAGGCAAGGGTAACATATCAAGGAAATCAGAAATAAAGGCCTCACTATTCAAGAAGATGGAAAGATCTAAAAAAATTTTGATAGAGTTCAATACAACTCTTCTTGAACTCTAGCTACTTCTCTGGATCTCTTTTGAACAAATAAAACAAAAGCAAAACAAACTGATGGCATTTGGATTTGTAAGCCAAATAATTTTATTTGATAATTATCTCAAATATGTGAATTAATACTTGGATAGTATTTTAGACAGGTTTCCATTGTCCCCTGGGTACTAATATTCTCTAAGACTTAAGACTTCTACCATTTTTTTTTTACTACGAGAGGTGCTAAATTGTCCTGTCATTTTTTTTTTTCCTATGATAATCCAACTCACTCCTCACAGGAAGAGGAAACATTAGCCAATAAAAATCATTAGGATCCACCTTATAATGTCTCATGGGACTGTGTTTAACAAAGAAGATTCAAGGATGTCCAGGGAATAGTTTCATAATTCTCATAAGTTTATGTAGAACTGGATTTAAAATTTTATCTGTTCAAAATCTTACAAAATGAGAGGTTCTTTCCCTTAGAAAGCTAATAAACTTTAAAAAGTTAAATGGATGAATGCAAAAGCTCTCCCCTAAATCTTTGGCACTGAGCTATAATAAAGAAGGTATCAGAATGTGTTCGGCTTAGCTGGGAAACGTTCTGTCATTTAGACATTTTATGTCTAACTTTTATGTTTTATGTTAACTTTTATGTTTTATGTTAACTTTTTATGTTTTATGTTAAACATTTTATGTTAACTTTTAACATTCTGTATTTTTGTATACTTTCCGAGCAGAAAAAAATATAGAGAAGTAAGCAATCAGTTTGTTTCCTGCATAGTCCAAATGGCCTGCATATTAATTTCTTTTACTACTCCTTCTACATTACAAAGGTATGTTCTTAGAGAAAAGTCTCAAAGGATCGACATCAAACCACTGGAGGGTGATTATTTCAAGAGGGTGGAATGGATTAGAACTTTTATCTTGTTTGTCTCAAGCATGTTACTTTTACAGTTAAAACATTCAAGGACAAAACATTTAGGTTACTTTAATACATGATTTCATATGCTTTTGGCTAGGAGGGTTCTGCTGCTTTTGCGATAAAATGGCATGAATATACAGAATCCCACCAGATGCCCGTGCTAGAGACAGAATGGGTGATTTCTGGGTAAATGCCCTGACTCCTGCCTCATAGGTAGCTCTCCTACACCCTAGATGTTTGAAATTCTAAAATTGGAGAGTCATTATCAATTCGCTACAATGGTGCCAAATCAGAGATCTTTTTAGAGACTGAGGGGAAAGTGGGAAGAAGGCCAAAATCATGAGACAACCTGGGGGAACAAGTTACCGGACGGGGGGGCTGACTTTCCCAGAGGTCAGCCTGGCTCCATAGTCTGACAAGGGTAAGATGTGCTTTACCCTAAAAATTATTGCTCTATTTAAAAAAAATATGGGCCCAATTTCATATTTAGGACTTTTTCAATGTTCCTGGTAAAGCTGAGGTCCCAATCAAACATTCCAAACTGGAAGCAGAGACGGTGTCTGCGGGAAGAGAGGAGACAGAAGCCAGCATCATCTAGGGTGTGTGCGATGGGACACTGGCCGGGAGGGTTCAGCTAAACAGCTGACAGGCTAGTCAAGGCCAAGTACGGACTGGCAGCATTGTGTGAGTCCTCTGAAGCGACACTCTCCTGCAGGCTCTATGCCATGAACCCCATTCATGTCCTCATAGGAAAGAGTGTTTGGGACCCACTGTTGTCCAGATCTGGGGGATAGGAGTGGTAGCCACAGGGAAGGGACAAGACATTCCACCTGGATCCACTTCCTCTCTTTCCCCATTAGGGAAAAGCACTGTGAAGGGAAGGGCACAAGCACTGCAGCCCTCAGGAACCCTGTGAAAACTCACTGCAGTGGGGAACGGGTTGAACAGGAGACAAAATACAGCTCTACTCCTTGAGGAGGGACAAGATTAGCAGCTGAGTCCCCCATAACAGCTAACGGAGTGGTTGGAGAACACAAGTGCCACGGTCCAGAAACCTAAGAACATGTCGCACGTGGAAGTCTGAGGCTGAATCAGAATACAACAGCATCCTGTCCTCCTCCTCACCCCTTAATGCCAAGCTAAGACCTTTAAGTGACAGGTAAGAGCCAAAAACTACTGGGAGAGAGATAAGAGATGAACAGGAATGTGCAGAGTGACCCTCACTGAGACACCTAAAACTGGGACTGATATGGGCATTGCTTTTCTAGTCAATCCCTCTTCCCCTAAACACAAGTTATCTCTAGAGGAATCTGAAGCCTCTGGTGCATGGAGGCTTGCCGTAGCTACATCTCTCTCACACCCAGCCCCACTCCTAACTAAAAAAACTCTTAACGGCCACACTAAAGGCCCATCAGGAGAGGCACACCTGTTAAGAGGCAGGAAGCCTATTTACAGTCTCCACTGTCTTACACAAAATGTCTAGCTTTCGTAACAAAAATTACGAGACACATGAAGAGGCAGGAAAAACACATATGCAGAGGAGAAAAAGCAATCAGAACCAGTTGGATAGGACACAGATATTAGAGACATCAGAGAATTCAAAATAATTGGTGGGTTAAAGGCTTGTGGACAACCCACAGGGTCCACTGGGAATTTCAGCTGAGAGATGGAAACGAGAAAGAAGAATAAAATGAAATGCTACAAATGAACAACAAAGTAACAGTGACAAAATGGTCAACACCAGAATTCTCTGCTCACTGGAAATAATTTTCAAAGATGAAGGAGAAATGCAGAGTTTGTTAGAAAAATATAAACTGAGGGGATTCACTGCAGGCAGACCTACTTGACAATAAATGTTCAAGGAAACTCTTTAGGCAGAGAGGATATTGCATCAGAAAGGAATATGGATCTACACACAACAAAATTGAAGAGTATCAGAAGTAGAATAAAGGTGCTTTCTATAAAGTTTTAATAGCTCATTCTGAAGACAATTCAACATCTGCAAAGTGACAATGTACCGTGTGTTTACAGCATTGGTAAATGTACCTGGTATGAAAACAACAGCACAAATAATGGAAAGGAGGTATTGTGAATATACTATTACAAAGTCTCTAAGCCACATATGAACTAATGTAGCATTATCTGAAGGAGGACAGCTAAATTTTTAAAAAAGGCATAAATAACAAAGTCAAGGAGGAGATAAAATATAAGTAGTACAAATAACAAAATATAACAATGTATAAATAACCAGTCAAGGAGGAGATAAAACAGAATCATAAATGCTCAACTGAGTCATAAAAAGAAAAAAAACTAAATTAAAAATATCCCAGTGGCAAGATGGTAGATTTTATTCTACTACACGAAAAATAACATTACAAGGAATTCAGGTCTAACACCTGAGTTAAAAGAGAGAAATTGCTAGACTGGATTAAAAAAGCAAGTGTCAAGTATACATACTCTATACAAAAAAACGTTTTAAACTAGAAAGGCATAGGGGTGCCTGGGTGGCTCAATCAGTTAAGCATCCAACTTTGGCTCAGGTCATGATCTCACGATTCATGGGTTCGAGCCCTGCATGGGGCTCTGCGCTGAGAGCTCAGAGCCTGGAGCCTGCTTTGGATTCTGTTTCCCTCTCTTGCTGCCCCTCCCCTGTTCATGCTCTGTCTCTCAAAAATAAATAAACATTAAAAAAAAAAAACAACAACCAGGAAGGCATAAAGAGATTGAAAGTAAAGTTTGGAGAAAGATATACCTTACAACATTAACTAAATTACAGCTGGAAAAAGTACACCAATATCAGACAAAGTAGATTTCAGAACAAAGAATATTATCAAGAATGAACAGGGACATGACATTATGATAAGTGACATACAATCCTAAATGTGTTCCCCTCAACTAAACCAGAGCCTCAAAATAAGTGAGGCTGAAACTGAAAAATGTAATAAACCAATCCACAATTATAGGTGAAGACTTTAACACCCCACTCTCAGTAATAGATGGGACAAGAAAATCAGTCACAACAGAGGAGACCTGAAAAACACTATCAATTAACCAGTCCCTGCTGACAGTTCTAGAACATTCCAACCAACAACACACTATGCTTTCCTTATAAGTATACATGGAATGTTTTAATATGTTGCCATATTCAAAGCTACAAAGCAAACCTCAACATATTTCAGTTAAAAAAAAAGTCACTGAGTATGTTTTCAGATGAAAACAGAATTAAACTAGAAATCAATAACTGGAAGATACCTGAAAATCTTCCAAGATTCCAGACTTACCTAACATAGTCCTATATAATCCATGGGTCAAAGAGTAAGTCTTAAAGAAAGGTTAGAAATACTTTGAGGTAGGGGCACCTGGGTGGCTCAGTCAGTTAAGTGTCTGACTTCTGCTCAGGTCATGATCTCATGGTTTGTGAGTTTGAGCCCCGCATCGGGCTCTGTGCTGACAGCTCAGAGCCTGGAGCCTCCTTAGGAAACTGTGTCTCCCCCTCTCTCCGTCCCTCCCATGCTTGTGATCTGTCTCTCTCTGTCTCTCAATAATAAATAAAAACGTTAAAAAAAAAAAGAAATACTTTGAGGTAGATGAATATACATTTTTTTAAATTGTTTACTTTTAATTTTAAATTCTAGCTGGGGCTCTTTGGGCCCCGAAGGCTTCAACCAAGCCTGGGTGGCTCAGTTGGTTAAGCGTCCGACTTCAGCTCAGGTCA